CCCCGATTCATCTCCCCGGGGAGATATATATATATATATATATACACACACGTGGGATGGGAGGATAAAGTGGAAACAAGGGGAAAGGAGAAAGGGACGCGTTACATTCGGACGACGCGGTCGCGAATCTCTATTTCCGTTTATCGCTTAAACGAGACAAATTAATTAAAGTCATACACGGGCGCGAGGTGGGTAGGTAGATAGGTAGGTAGGTAGGAACGAGCGACGGCGGCGTATTAAAATAACGCTCGCTTTGGCGAACGCCGACCACTTTACGATAATTGAAGGGGATTAAACCGACGCACGCGGATTCTCTCCGCCATCCGAGATAAACCAATTTAATATTTCATTTAAGCTTTGTCACCGTTTACGGGGAGGAGAGCAAGGGGGAGGGGGCAAAGTGCGGTAATCGCGCGGAACCGATATCGAATCGCGGGGCCGCCTCGTTCGCGAAACGAAGGTAAGAAGGGAATTCGGAGGGAGGATCGCATTCTTCTTCGGAAAGAGGGCCGGTTGACGCTTCGTGGTCGACACTCGTAAAATTTCCGGCGTTAAAAGGGAAGGGGAGCGGCTCCAAGTTCGAAACAAGAGGAGGAGGAGGAGGAGGAGCAAAGTAGCGGGGACGCCGCTTCTTAACACCCGCCTTGGGATTCCCCTCTTCCACCCTCCCTCCATCTTGCCTCCATCTATTTCCATCTTAATTCGTAATAAGCCGTGATAATCGCCGCGATCGTTTCCGCCAAACTTCTCTAATTGTCCGTAACGATAACGCGGTGGTAGGTTGGCCTCGGAGAGCGTAGCTGTCCAAGGAGGGAACTCGGTGTGAAAATTGGTGTAACGGTAATGGCTGTTTTGCTACGCGCACCGCGGGAGAGAGAGAAGATCGGCGTCGATTTATAAATTCCTCCCCCGGGGGAGGGGAGGACGCGATAACTTTTAAACACGAGGGGGAAAGATCGGTGACGATCCGTTTCTCGACTCGTTGGACTGCTGGTGGAAGAAAGGGAAGGGGAAGAGGAAGCGTTTTTTGGAAAAATTGGAGGAATATTTTTTGCTTCTCTCTCGGCGAGAGAGAGAAGACTGGCGTTTCGCGGTCGATTAAAGGCTCGGTTCGGTGAGCGCGGCGAATAGAATGACAAAAAGGAGCGGAGGAGGAGGAGGAGGCGGAAACGTCAACGGGTAATTCGATTTCCTTTCTGACGCGACGCATTCGCCAGACGACGCAACTCCCTCGAATCCTCGCGAAAGACGTTTCATGCCCGCATAATCTTCTCGTCTCCCGTCATTCTCTCTCTCTCTTATATTTGCAAAGCGAGATTCTGACGTTAATGCGCCGCACTTCCAAACCTTCAACGAAACCCGAAATAGAGAAATGTTTGCGGAAGAGAGGGTGGTGGGGAGGGAGCAGTTGGAAACGCGACGTTTCGCGAGTTTCCCTTCCCTCCAATTGTGGCAGGGGAAGTTACGCGTGGAACAAGGATCGTTGCGAAGCTTGATAAAACCGA